AAAAACTAGATTATTCAAATAAAAAGATGCAATTTTGTCTCATAGATTATTGAAATATTTTAAAGAACTGTTCAAACTTTAAAATGGTAATATTATATGATCTACAATAGTAATAATAATAGTGAAATGTCTTCTTATAATTACGGTTCTCTTGGAATTCAGTTGTTGTATATTTTTCAATTTATAGGATTTTATTTAAAAATAATGTCGTGAAAAGAGAAATAGTAAAATTTATTTAGAAGCTTTGAACATAATGCCTAAGAGCATAAAATGTACGAAGATATTCGTATACCGGTTATCACAGTTTGTGCTTTAATTCCTCATCTTCAGGGAGTTTGCTGAAGTGGCTTTGCACGAGTTTATCAGAGACTTCGGAAATAGTAGCCGGGTTCCATTTTGGGCTCTTGTCTTTGTCAATCAAAAGTGCGCGTACACCTGAAACGATAATATAGTAAAAAGTATTTTGCTTTTATATTATCCACGATGGATACCTTCATAGAAGTCTTTATTATTTAAGCAATTAACCGCCATTCTGTACTCCATCTGGAGACATTCCAGGAGATTCATTTTGCTTCCCATATTGAGTTGCTCCAGGGTAATTTTCAGACTGGTCGGCGACATGTGGTTGAGCAGCTTAAGAGTTTCCTGCGCCCAGCTGGATCCATCCTTTTCCAAATTACTGCAAATCTGTTCAACCGTGGAGCCGTTGAAACATGTGTTGATCTTCTCCATCACCGATTTCAAAGAAAATTCATTATTATCGACTACCGAGAATCCCTTAAGAACTTTGTCTATGTCCTGTACATTGGAGCAATCCAATAGAGCCTTTTCTACATTCTCCAGGTTTGAGCTGTCTACGTAATGCGTGGCTATGCCGGCCTTCAAGACATCCGCACCCCTGAGCCTAACACCGGTCAGGGCTAAGTAAAGTCCCAATTTACCACCCAACCGCGGTAAGAAGTGGGAACCACCAACATCCGGGAATAAACCGATGGCTGTTTCGGGCATGGCGAAGAGCGTGCGCTCAGTGGCCACCCTGTATGGTGCATGTACAGACATTCCAACACCTCCACCCATTACAATGCCATCAATCAAGGCAATGTATGGGATCCCATAGGTTCCAATTATGCCATTGATAATATATTCCTTCTTGAAGAAATCATAGCCATATCTTTCACCTCTCAGACCAGCTTCAGTCACAGCCCTTACATCTCCACCAGCACAAAAAGACTTGCCACCAGCTCCTTTCACCACAACCATAGACTTTTCCTTCTCCCACTTCTGCAGAGTTGGCAACAGCTTTTCAACCATGGACAAGTTCAAAGCATTCAAAGCTTTGGGTCTGTTGAATGTAATCACCCCCTTGCCTTTAACATCTTCGAAGAGCACATCACTCTCCGTTGACATGGCTCTATAAAAAATAGAACTCCTGTTACTCAATAGTTGTTTGCTCAATTTAGAGGTTAGGAATAGATTCCTGCAGGCCTGTAATCCAGATATTGATTTATATCAGGTGTTATCTAATAATTCAAATGTTACCATCATGCACAGCAAGGAGACACCACAAATTATTGAAACACAATTGATACAAAAATATGCAAACTAATGGCAATTTTATACATTCACATTGAGATAAGATGTTAATCACTTATTCATAACAGATCTAAGGTCATTGGAGATGGTAAAGTGGGACATGTGGGGATAGAAGAAATAGTTTATTGTTGAAATAATACCCACCATTGGTTAGAGCGCAATATTGTGAATTAAAATTTCTGCTCGGAGGAGTAATATACATGGGTAGCTAATTAGCCGGAACAAAGTTCATCTAATTACTATTTTAAATGTGATTAAAAATAAATAATGTAAACTGTTTGGAGTATAGGCAACTGTTTATATCAGATTATCTAATGTGTTGCCTAAAATGCAAGAAATCATTTTAAATCTCCGACAAACTTTTAATTCATTTGACTTTTAAATTTGTATTTTTACTACAATAATAACAATTAAAAATATTCTGAAATAAAATTGTCTCAAAATACAATAATCAGCAATTATTTTATTATTTAGGAACCAGAACTAATCCATCAAATAAAAATAATTATATTTCTAAAATATTTTAATAATTAAATACTTTAGTGTTTATTATTTGTGAAAATGATTTGATTTTGTCCTAACCTTGTCATACGATTTGATTATCCATCAAACACAAATTAGAAATATTCAATCATATTATAAAAATAAAATAATTAACATTAGTATACTTGATAATACTTTTAACGTAATTATTTATATTGTGTTGTATAAACATTGTGTAATAATGCAGTAATTATTTCAAAAATATGTGGTTTTTCACAATTTCATTTATAAATACAGCATATTTCTTATTGTGCGCTTTTGATCAATCTGGATTCACTATTGATCTGTTTGAAAATTTCAAAACAAAATAAAAATATTTTATTTTTTTCTATAATAAGTAATATGAAAAAGCTAATGATGAAATTTATTACAAATTATATAAACATATTTTGTTTATTTCTCAAACTCAAATTAGTACGGAAAATGTGAAGAATTTAATAGAAAACTCCTATGTAACGCACAAACCTCGACTTGGGTTCTGCCCTTCACATCCTCACCAAAATTCGACATCCTAAAACACACTCAACAACTCTTTTTTCTAAAACTAAAATTGTTGTGCTCCTCGGCAGATTTTTATCGCTTTCTCTTAAATATATTTCCAAACTCGTGAAAAGCCACTTCAGCAAACTCCCTGAAGATGAGGAATTCAAGCACAAACTATGATAACCGGGATACGTAGATTCAAATATCCTTCATGAACCGTATTTACATTTCTTATGTCCCTATAATCATATCCTTTTTACAATGGCTGCTTTATGTTGATTTTTTTTAAAGTTGATTAGTTTTATTACTTCGTTGTTGTTATGTATAAATATTTTAATTTTTCTGCTTTAGTTGTTTTTATTTTGTATTTCTTGTTTGAATTTCTTTGCAATAAATTATTTAGATTATTAATTTAGAAAAAATAAAAATTTTATAGCAATTTCTTAGAAGTTAATGTTATTTTGTTATATAAATGCCTAATTATATTATCAATATTTGGCTGAAAATAGTTTAACAAGTTTTTACTACGTATTTAGTTTTTTTTTTATTATTCTAGATTATTATTACTTTATACAATATTAGAAAATGAATGTAAATACATTCATTTTATAATTTGGGGCTGGTATTGCAAGTGCGCCTTGTTTATGTGTTTGTTATACATCGTACATTTTTATTTTAAACGTTTCTATACCCATTTCTTTTTTATTGTATCTTGTAATTTATTATATTGACGTTGAAGATGTTTGTCTTGTTTATTTTTAGGTCTTAAATAATTTATGCTTTGTATTTGATATTCCTGTGAAATTTAGTAAAATAAGGTTAATTACTAATGTATAATTAATGTGCCCATTGTCTCAATGAAACTGAGTAAGGTGTATTTATCAAATACTTTAATTCTCTTAGAATTGTAGTAGTAAATACTGCAGTAATTAAGCGCGTTTTTCAGTCATTGTTAATATGCGGTTTCACGTGGCAGATATATAAATATTATTCAGCATCTCACAATTCATACCGTGTTTAATTGAAGTAGATATTATTGGTTACTATTTTTTAGATTAAAATTTATAATAAAATTGTTAATTATGATTTTATAGCTTAAAATTATAATATTATTTTTTCAACTTTTTTATCAGACTGTACACTTGAACCTATACTAAAGTAATTAATGATTTTGGAGAAATTAATCTTTCCTTTTTAAAGCAAATACTCTTATTTTTATCCCATTTGAACACAAATAATATTTATTTATTTGTTATGTTTTAAATTATTAATTTTATTCTATATTAAAAGAAAATTATAAAAGTCTTTGGCCAATTCCAAAAAATTGATTGATTTCAAATTCTATTAATATTTTTAATAAACTTTATTTCACTAAATGATTCGTAGAAAAGAATGAAGGCTATTCTGTTTTTTGACGAGTTTCTTTGATCCTTTTCTCCCAGAATTAATGTAACATACAACCACGAAGTCTGCTAATATTTATTTTCTTTACCTGAGGAGTCCCCGAGCTGCTGCTAATTATAACTTAGACCTATTTCGTTTCCAGCAGATTAAATATCTGAAGTTATAATTAAAGCTTGCCTCTTTTTTTTTGTATATATATATATAATTTTATTTGTATAACAATTAATGTTTTTTTTGGGGGCTCGCAGGCAAAATAAATGCTAAAGAAGTTCGGGTATTATTTTTTCTCTCTTCTGTTGTTCTCGTTCTAATTGTTGGTTTTGAATGAAAATTAAAGGAAAACACTTGATCGCACCAGACGACTAGACGTCATCGAGCACAGAAAGAAAATCGCAAGATCAATATTTTATTATTATAAAGCTTCATGTCGTCTTTCTTATTTAGTCCTTCGTATCATGCAAGAGATAATCTTCGAGTGTTGGTCACATCGTAATCCATTCGAATTGCAAATAAAAAAAAAGTTAAATTTCTACTATTTGATTTTCTTATTTACTTTGTTCATATAAATATTATTTCGAATTAACAGGACTTTGTTGTTCTTCGAGCTTAACGTGATGTTCTGCGGAGTCACGAAGGTCCAGTTAATATACTTATTTTAAACCCAAACAATAGCACTCTGGGATTTCAATTTGAACACCAGTCGTCTCCTCTCATATCTTTTTCACTGCGCAGAAAAAAGTTTGCTTTTAGAGTGAATCGAACTATTTTAAAATCGGCCTAGTTAAATCAAACAAAATAAATGTGTATTTCAATATAATCCTATCATTTTCTTCCTGTGGTTTGTCATGAAATGAAGCAAATGAAGCATTGGATGGAGGAAACCTGTCGTTTCTCGCTTCTTATTCTTAATCTTTGTTTTCAATCAAATTTATTTCAATTTTTTTTATTATTAAGTCGTATATTATTTATTTTAACAATTTATTCCTGTAAACATTAAGTAAATTTTTTGGCGGTTGACAAATTTGTTTTTTGGTAAAGTTTCCGAATGAAAGTTTTACCATTATTTTGTTGTTTTAACAAATTTGTTGGTCTTCTTGTAGGTTAACGTCAGTAGTAAATTGATGCGCTGCGATTCCACTATTTTCTTTCTTTGTGTACTGACATTGTCATTGTCCATCCACTTGGCTGGAGGTCCTGATATGGCTGGAATCTAACCAGCGCTCACAAGGTTGGTAGAAAGACGACTTAACTATTCGACTATTCGACTATCCGTCGCTCTTATTCAACTTATCAAAACTAATTTATTGGGTGAAGTAAAAAATGCGGAGCGTACTGTCCATTACTGTTTTATTAAATTAACAATTTGCGATCAATAAACATTTGACTTAAAGACAGTAAAATATGTTACAGTTACTTTATGGAAACAGGTAAAGGATCATCTAAAAGGCCCATGAGACCTGCCCCACCTATATTTATTAGTCCATATGATGGTTTATTGATGTGGTCAACCATTCCACTATAAATTTTATGGTTGTTTATACTGATTGTGCTTGTCCGCCCTGAAGTACAATCAGTCTAGCGAAAAAGAGATATCTGTTTATGACTGTTTTATTGTCATTCTAAACACAATTGCACCCTATTAGAACGTAGGGGGTGGGCAACGCTTCAATATTGTTAGAAGAAAGTTGAAAAAGCTGATTATTTCTTATGTGACACTAGTATAAACAAACTACTATACAAAGAAATTAATTTTAATAGATCGCGATTACCTTTAATCCATTAAATCTCCTTTTCGACATTATCCATGTCCAGTATTTTGCTGATTTTGTTCCGAATTGCTGATTGTCTCTACTACCGACATTTGACCCTATTCAGCCTCTGATCGTCATCTTCCTTAGTGGATAGCACCCCTGATAAATATATTGCTATGCCAGCTCTCTTGGATCTTCAGAATTTCAACAACGAAGGTCACTAGTTGTTGTACGATATTTGCTTCAGCTTCGGTGCACATCTGCAGCATCTAAAGAACGTGTGTATTTCATTCACTTTCTTCGCGACGAAGTGCGGATACTTATCGAAGCAGAAATCGTTTGTCTCATGTGAAAGTTGTTTCACCACCTATTCCTATTTATGAGATTTAATGTCATATCAAGCTCTAGCTTCCAAATCCGAAGTGTCAAAATTAATTGAAATTGTTTTAAAACACAATTAACATATTTAACAGGCTATATGTTTTAGCGATACTATCAATTCATAAGGATTAATACATAACAAATTCAACAGTTTGATCTAAAAGTAATAGAATACTCATATAATAACTATAAATCAGTAGTAAAACCTTCTACATAAATATAATAAAACTAAGGCCTCACTAGTTTTTATTGTCACGAGTCGTGAAATATCAAAATGCCTACAGCATAGATATATCCAAATGCAATGGAAAACATAAAATTGCATAGTTTGGCACGTCCGTATAAAGTAAAAAACGATATTTGTAATTACTTTTTGCACTCAAATCAAATGTTGGCAATTCACTATAACAAAACAACAATACATTAAAGTAAAAATACAATTGCCAAATATTGGCTGTAGCAATCAAGTACGTCAATTATTAAATAATTGTAGTAGATGTATGCTCTAGTTGTTTGACAATTTTAATGAAATAAAACTTTATAAACATAAACTATGTAGAATGAGATAAAATCATCTCTATTAATTTAGTTTATCTACCATTATAAAATTATCGAAAATAAATGTCAGAACATCATTTATAATTTTATTTTTGTTTAATTAGTGCATAAATTATGATATAAAATGTAACTAATCACATATAATATTAATTAGCCCATAATATATTAGACTAGCTCTTATCAAAAAAAGTATATTACAGTCTATTAACCTCGATAATCCGACTCCATTCCCGAATAATCTATTAATCACAAACTTTGATTTCCCGATATGAAATGTGACAATAAGGTACGTAAGTTACTTCTCTTCCTTCCTACGACAATCCCTAGATAAAGTGAAGTTATATTTTCTATATATCTATAATTGTATCAACTATTTATTGTGTT